AAGATATTATGGAATGGGACTTGAGTCCCACATCGGTACTATAAAGTGTTGATGTGGGGTTTATATAGCCTTGGGCTCTCCCACCTTAATAGCTAGCTTTTGGGGTGTGGTTCTCCCTAGGTTGTATATGGCAAGTTCACATATTCAATAGTCGGAAACACTCAATTTATGTGCTTAATGTCATGTGAAAAGTATACATTATTTCATTTTAATAATACGTGTTTAATGGACGCATTTCTTATAGCGAATGTTAAATAGGCCAAAGATTAGTGTAAAAATTGCACGGGGCGCCGATCGCCCCATTTAACTTATACTCATTTTTTAAAAAACTTTTAACTTATACTCACTTTTTAAATAACTTCAGCCCCCTTTCTCCTCCTCCTTCGTTTTCTTCTCCTTTCTTCTGCCGCTGTTGGTGCAGATTATTTTTTGGGTAAAATTTCTTTTAAACTGTTGGTGCATAGAAGTTAAAACTTTCTTTTGTACCTTTATATGATTAAAAAAGAAATTATTTTCCACAGTTCCTTTTGTGAGTGGAAACTATCAAGATACCATTGTTAAGATTTTAACAAACTAATACATATATCACTTCCCTCATCCTCAGGAAGCTGTTCACTGGTTCCCAAACCTTCCTCCATCTGAAGCCTTCCAGTAGAGCAAGATGAATGGGAAAAGGTCAGTAGCGATTAGATACATGTATCAAGAACTCTAGCCAACTTTTCACGTGGAACATATCTCTTCCTTCATTAATGACTTGAAAGATAGAACTTTTCACGTGCTGAGATTTTACCCCAAAGATTTTAACAAACTAGCAAGTTGTTTGACGGATGGATCCCCAACTTATTTGAGCAGATCCTATTCTAAAGCTAGCTTCCAAATAACTTCGCCAGTTACAAAACAAAAACTTTAGCTCTAGTTCGCCAGTTACAAAAATAAAAACTTCAGCTCTAGAGCTGAAGTTCGCCAGTTACAAACAAAAACTTCAGCTCTAGAGCTGAAGTTCGCCAGTTACAAAACAAAAAATTCAGCTCTAGAACTTAAGTTCGCCAGTTACAAAAAACAAAAACTTTCGCCAGTTACAAAATAAAAACTTCAGCTCTAGAGCTGAACTTCAGGCTTGACTACTAGAATGCTGAAGTTTTGCGTGATTGCCTTTGCTACTTCAGCCCCGTATGCTGAAGTTATGTGAAAAAGCGGGTACACTTGCATTTTTTTTGCAAAGCGGGTACAAGTTAAAACGTGACACAAAAAGCGGGTATAGATGCAAATGCCCCAAGATAGTGTCCTCTCTAGGAGTTGGATGATTTGGCCTAATATCAAATTTGAATACTTCATATTATACTATGTCAAAGTTAGGAACTACTATAACATTATAATACTTAGTATGCAATACCTATTTAACTCTAAAAAATAACAAGACATAAAAAAAATGACACTAATGAATAGTTATTTATCGTGAACAGGGACGGCTCAACGGATTTTGTGGCCTAAAGCCAAAACATATTAAAAGTCCCTTAAATTTCTTTTGTAAAATACATATAGTAATGAAATACAAAGCAAACTCCTAGAACTTTGGCCTAGTGATAATTGTACAATGTGTGATGTGTGAATTAGGTACACGTACGGTTTGGAACTCTGTCGTAAATAAAATATGTCATTAATAAAGTGAAAGAAGGTAGAGGGGGCATGGAGATAATATATCGACTTTGGAACCTTGCACCCCATTGTATTTGGAGATTTCTCTTAAAAAGATGAATAAAAGATAATTGCTTTCTAATGAATGGATCAATAAACTATGGTGAAAAGAAATAGCCAATTCAAAGAAATTAAGTTAAAATTAGAAAGTGAAATCATTAGAAACATAAAAAATACATGAATATACATAGAAGAGAAAAAAACAGATTTGTTAACGTTCATCATTTTATTAAATGAGAGAAATTTATTATTATTATTATTATTATTATTATAACTTTAATTAAAACTATTAAAATATTTTATTAATAATAATTACATAAGTTATATATGACATATATAGTACATAAAATTGGGCCCTTAATATTTTGGGAGCCTAAGGCAACAGCTTCATTTGCCTTGCTCGGCCGCCCTTGATCGTGAAAGAGTTTATTGAACCACTATTTGAACAAAAAAATTCATCATAAAACAATTACTAATTTCAAAAAGACTACTACTATTCACATCCTTTTTTAAAGATAAACTCTATTAAGATACTTGAAAAATGTGTCCAAAAAGATTCACAATTTTTTTTCTCAATATAAAAATAGTAATGTTAAAATGACATGAAATTATATTCTTACTTTGAGTATTAAATTTCAAACCTATAATCCAACAAATTTAGATTTGTACAAGAATAGAACCTATAATGAACTCGTACGGATGTACACATAGTACAATGAAATGAAGGACGCGGCAATAATTACTAAAATAAAACCCCTAATCGAAATGGCCAAAGTAAAAACCTTTTAAAAACCCTCCTCTCTTCACTCCATGAGCCGTTCTCTGTATTTTCCTTCTCCCCTTTCGCCGAATGCAAAACCCTAATAACATTCCTAACACAAACTTCTCTATATCTTTAATCGTCGTATAAAGAGTTCGATTATCTAATCAATTGCATTTAACAGCTAAATTCATTCACATATATTTTTCTAACATAGTACATAGCAAATCTCCTTCGGAGATGGTATCGGGTTCAAATTCGAAAGCAGATGGTGGGACTCATATTTTGTCTGCGGGCGTAAGAGAAATACTAGAATCTATTAAGGAAGTTGTTGGAAATCATTCTGATGCTGATATATATGTGGCTCTTAAAGAGACCAACATGGACCCTAATGAGACTGCTCAGAAATTGCTCAATCAAGGTCTTTATTCTTTAACCCAGTTTGTGTTTTTCTTGTTTTTATAATTTTAAACAAAGTGGAATGGATACAGGGGATGACTGTAGTTGTTGCTTTTGTGTTTATGCTGCATTTTGTTGTATCAAAGTTATTAGAAGGCCACAAGTAAGACTTAGCTATTTGGGCACACATGGGCGTGCCTCGTGGTCAATGAAGTGAGAGGAGAACCTTGAGGTCTCAGGTTTAAATCCCAGTGGAGCCGAAAGAAAAAAACACTAGGTGATTTCTTACCCTCTCTCTTAAATCTTCGTGGAGAACAGTGGCGGAGGTAGAAGCCGAGCTACGGTGAACCAGTAGCTTTTGCTCAAACAGTGTATTTTGTGTTAACAAATTTATTATGTGTGTATAAATATTAAATTTTGGAACCCAATCATTAGCACTTGAAGTCGATATTTTAAAATCCAAATCCATAAGGTTAGAATCCTCGCTCCGCCTATGCTGGTCCAGGTGGGAGGTAGCAGGTAACATGATGGAATAGTAGCGCAAGTTGGCCTGGTGTTGTCATGGAAAAGCAAGAAAAAATATTTGGTGTTGCCGAGGGATTTTGTTAGAGGCTGTTCTTGGATTCTGAATAATCCTTGTGATAATGGCCCCAGGGCTTAATTCAAGTAGAAGTTGAGGGACGTGTGACTTAGGTCACAGGTTCAAGCCCTGCCCTAGCGCACTAAGTCTGGTATTTAAGTGGACAAGCATATAGGGGCGGGCCCATTATCCTCAGAGTTTCGAAGGCTGTGGTGTCCTAACTGTTGGCCCCAAATGGATTTCACATAAAAAAAAATCTTTGTGATATTGGATAGGGAGTAGGGACTAGGTATTTAGTGCAAGTACAAGAAAATATTTTCAACTATATGTTTCTGTAGTTGGAGCTTGCACCCACTGTCAATGTGGTTCATCTGCCACTGACTTTTTTTGGAAGTCTTGGATAGTGGGAAATGGTAGCTTTGTATTATTGGTATTATATTCGGGGAGGTTCTGTAACAAGTGTGCTTCCACCATTTTGCTAATTACTATACTTTTGTATTGTTGATGTAAGGTTCCTGCAATTAAGTATCATGGGCTGCTGTAATTGAACATGCATACAAGTAGGAGATGTGATGTTAGTTATAGCAATTCAAGCACCAATCCGTGCGTGCTATAGACAGTTATTATAGTTGTCTTTTTTCAATAAGATGGTTAAAATTTTCCCTTAGACCGTACCTATATAAAAGTTAATTCATAGTTAACATTTCTTCCTAGAACATTAGAAAGATGATATGCCCATTGATTATCATTACTCCATAGATTTATTAGTATTAGTTTTCGCTTTTGATATTCTGGTGGATATTATTGAGACAGCTGCATTATGGTGCTGGTTTTAGCTTTTGCAGTATAATTTGGAACAATCTCTATTCGCAAGTAAAAATTCATCATCTTTCCCTTCATTCTCTGGTGTGAAGTGTATCTAATGCTTCAGTTTTTTGCATTCAGATCCATTTCACGAGGTGAAGCGAAGAAGAGACAGAAAGAAAGAGGTAAATAATTTAAGACTGTTCTGTGCTTCTAGTTCTTATGTGATGCGCTTGGCAGATTATTCCTGATGTCCCTTGAGGTCAGACAGACATTTGATTTTTTTTTTTGGGTAGATCAGCCACTTCTATGCAAAACTCAAAAGGAAATTACATGTTTCTTTCTCTTGTTTAGATTATTTTCTATGAGTGATTATGCCGTCTAATTTATGTAAAGTTGTTGACTTTACTATTTTGGTAATTTTACTCTAGTTTTTGTTCTTATTAAAACTGAAACTTTTCTCCGTCTTGCTTCAGAACCATGGGTATAGAAGTTCTACAGCTCCAGAAAATGGAAGTTATTCAGAGCATGGTACGCAGGAAATGAGGGTCAACACACATGTCAATCGTAACATCCGAAGAGGGAGCTACAGTCGAACTGCTTTACCTGGTAATTTGATCTTATGCCAGATTTCTTTTTCTTATGCTTTGTAGTACCTTAAGGTCCTAAAAATCTCCTGGGGAGGTGCTGTTATTGGGAGGTCAGCGAGCCTTTCGCAATGCAATAGAATACATGCTTCAGTTGCTAAAAGATGATCCTCTTAAAAAGGCATTTCTGTTTGAAACCATCCAAAAGCTACTATATGTTTGTAAATGTCATTTTATTGGTATCCATTTGTGGATGAAGGCATTTGAAGTGCATCAGTTGTAAGAAGAAAGCTCTTCTTGTGCATGTTCGCTTTGTGTGGACAACCACGTGTCTATTGAGAACAGATAGGGGTCATCAGATGCAAGTACGGGGGGGGGGGGGGGGCAGGGATTATGCACGAAAAAGGTCTTTGCAATCCTATTCGTTAGTGCTTACAGTGGCAGTACATAATGGCCGGCTGATTTATATAGTTTCTTAGTATTTTTCATTCTATCTATGTACCAAAAACTTATAACATTTCCACTGATTGTAAATTTTTCTCATTTCTCTCCTCAAGTAGCTGGAAAGTGAAGAAATTATATATGAACTTGTGGGTAGCTGTTTAGAGTAGTCAGCTATATTGGGTATTGTTGCAATGTCGCCTAGACTATGTCAAATGGGTATTGATGTCACTCCAAATACTTCTTACCTCTGGCATGTGTATTCTGTACATTCTCTTCATATGTTTCTTTTTTTTTTTTTGATTTGCACCGGGTGTCCGAGTCTCTAAGAGCCCCGACTAATCCCGGGGGTGCACAGGCCCTCGGCAAGGAGTTTCCCGCAAGTGCACCACGGTTAATTCAGGTTTTACCCAGTCCGATGGCCCTTAGAAATTGTTTGCACCCAGTGAGTTTCGAACTTGAGATCTTGAAAGGGAGCAAACCTCAAGGCTCAAGTCTATTGCCACCAGGCCAACCCCTGAGGGTTTTCTCTTCATATGTTTCTTATGGGTCTGTTCTCTCTTGTTAACAAATGGGTATTGATGTCAGTCTATTACTTCTTGTCTCTGACGTGTGTATTCTATACACTCTCTTCATATGTTTGTTATGTTAACAAAATGGTTAAATTCAACTCTTTTTGATAAGTAAATAAGACTAGTATTCATGAATTGCTCCAATAAAGAAAAGGGTACATCAGTAGCCTTACAAAAACCCAGTTCCTAGCTTCTCTGATCAGTGAGCTGACACTAATATATTCAACTCTCCTGCTTACCCTGTATTTCATGTCAATTTTGCAGTTTTCTTAATTTTGCTGAATATCATGCTCTTCTTAAAATACCAATCAGTTATATCAGAAGTCAAAAGTGCAGAAAAGTGAGGCCAGTGGTGCTTAAGCGCAGAACTGAATTGAAGCACGCATTTCAGTAAAGACAATGAAGAAATGTTGTGCGCGCGTGTGTGCATGCCTGTGTGCATGTATAATGCAAAGAGAAAAAACTGTAAATACAGTGAGTTGTATGGACAAAAATAAAAATATGAATTCCATTTCAAAAAAGAGATAGAAATCTGATAATTGGAAAATAGAGAACATTTCAATTGTAAAGTACAGATGTCTACACTTTAAAGTTTTGGGGGAAATGGGTATTGGTGTAAATGATATAGAAGCAAAGCTGAGATTTCTTATTGGTGTAAATGATATAGAAGCAACGCTGAGATTTCTTAGATGGGCTAGAGACATAGTGAAGGAAGATCCAGTTTATTTCTCTACTTTTTTGGGACCCTCATTCCTTCTTGGTACTGATCTCTTTTTTAATTATACATACCTTATGAAAGATAAAAAACAATTCTGATAATTTATTAGTTGAAATTTATATGAGGTAAAAACCATTCTCGGTTCTTTCCATAAAATTAATTACTTTTGTCGAAAACAAGTTAGAAGTAAAAACTGTGTCAACTGTCAACAAAGTGCAGACACAACAATGTAGTTTTGTAGTTCTTAATCAAATTTTGTGTCTGGCTTTTATGATGAATTTTTAGTTTTTCTTGATCATACATATTTTCCCTTCATGTTACTGTCTCTTTTTATTTAATAATATTATCCATAACATTTCTTAAACAATTAATCTTTCACCACTTCAGCTGCATTTCTTGTTTAATGCTTGCCTCAAGTGAGTCTTTTTGCTATAGCGCTAATGATAATTTCTCCTTTTCTTCAGTAATTTCTGGTGATTCTACAACATACTTAGTTTTTTTGGCTTTGTTCCGTGAGTTATGTTAAGTTATGAATTGATTGCCAATTGTCTCTAGATGCAGGACTTACCCGGGAATTCCGGGTTGTGCGAGATAATAGAGTTAGCCAAAATGGTAATAGCTCGATAAAGCCTGTCCAGACTTCTACATCCGCCGAACCAGTTGTTTTAAATACTTCTGCACAAAGGTACATTGTGCTGTCTTTTCTAATATTTTCTATAGTTAGAGGGTGTTTGGATTGGCTTTTAAGCTTGGTCAAATAAGCTTTTAAGCTCTTTTTAGTTTTTTTCAGTGTTTGGCAAAGTCAAAAAGTGCTTATAATAAGTTAAAAGTTGTGTAAAACAAGCCAAAAGCAATAAGCTGGGCAACCCCAACTTATTGGTTTTGTGCCATAAGACTAGAAAAGTTATTTCTGCTGAAAAGCCACTTTTTTTAAGCCAATTCAAACGCTCTCTAAGAGAGCACTGGCTGGTCAGAGTAAATTTAAATGAGATACCACTTTTTTTAAGCCAATTCAAACGGGCTCTAAGAGAGCACTGGCCGGTCAGAGTAAATTTAAATGAGATACATTTGTCTCTACTTGATGTCTTGGTCAAATGTTCAATTTCCAAGTTATAAGTGAGCTGTTTAAAGTGTGGGCGTTGAATTGATTAAATGCTCAAATATGTTTACTTTGGAAGTTGAGATAAGTTTCCTACAATGTGCATGAACTCTTATGGTAAAATAGGGATTTACTCCCTCCTTTTCCCCTTGCCTTCTATTTTTATCTTTACTTTTTGAGGAACGGCTGTGAGGGCTAATGGGGCGAGATATACCTGCCAATTATGCTCATGTATGTTTGACATGTGTGTGCCGGTTCTCGTAATTCAATCTTCCGTACAGAGGTGCATTTAAATTTAACAAAAATCAATACTCTTCTCCCGATTAGTTATTGTTTTCATTTGAGTCTATTATTTCTTTTCTTCTCATATTAGATGAGTTCCTATAACTTACATGAATGTTAATAAAAATTGATGTTTGGGATTAATATATTTTGAAATAATAGTCGAACAGGTAACATAGACTAGTTGAAATGTGGGTTTTTCACTATTGTTACCGCATTTGTAATGGTTTCCTATCTATGTATTTGTTTAATGCAATTTTTTGGTATTTTTGGCTTCTACAATATGTGCTTTGCTTCAAAGACATGCATTTCATTTTTCGCTCTTCCCTTATACATCAGGCTCTTGTCACGCTTTATGCTTTTGAAAACATTGTATTCTCTGGTATTATCCTGTTATTCTACCTGAATTGGATGAATCTAGACACCTACGGTATAACTGCATAATTTTGTTGATTTTCTACCATATGAAACTTGATTCCTACTTCTTTGGCTATTCATTATTCACAGATGTTATAGTACCTTCAACTGTTACTGTGCCGCGCTATTATCATAATCACCTTTTGTTGATGTACCTTTGAGCTTTACTTTGCTACCTATTATCTTTAAAGGGCAAACCTTCTAATTGAAGTTGTTTGGTTCGAGAATGCCAATGCATTCCCCTTTGTCTTTTTGTGATCATTTTTACTGCATTTGGTGTACATTATTTTATAAGATGCGAGTCTGAGAATCTAGCTTGGTTTTATTTGAGGACCTTTGTTGTTGTAGTACGGGTTTCCTCCCTCTTTTGAGTAACTCACAACTTTTAAGCAGTAGTGTGCATTTTTTTATTGTTGGACTTTACAGCAGTTCAAAAGGGACCTCTGTCAAAAAATTATCTACTGGGAGTCATTCATCTCAAGCTCCAAATAGGAATTCTCAATATACGCACTCCAATGAAGCTAAATTAAGTGGCACTAATGGTCAAGGTTTGACTGGAGAAATTCAGGCATCTGTCTCACAGTCTGCTTCGCAGATGAGAGGAGTGAAGCCAAATGGTTCTCGGCCACATTCTATGACATCATCAAGCAATTCTGTCATTGGAGTTTATTCGTCCTTTTCAGATCCTGTTCACGTACCATCTCTTGATTCCAGACCGGCTGCAAAAGTTGGAGCTATTAAGCGTGAGGTTGGGGTGGTGGGTGCACGTCGCCAGTCTGCTGAAACTTTTGCCAAGCCTTCATCTTCACAAAGCAGGTCAATTTCGAACTTACACATGGAGCAGGCCCGACAGGATGGTGGTAACTCTAAAGGATCTCTCAGACCTTTAAGTTCTAATTCTAGAAGCGACCAGAGTGCAGTATCTGATTCTCCTAAATCCAGCCTTCCAGTGGGCAGATCTTTCTCGGGAAATCAACATATTAATAGACAACATCAACCTGTGGGTCATCAGAAAAGTAGGTGCTTCAACTTAATACATGTATCTTTCCCTTTGTTTTTAAGTGATTGCTGCTATAATTTCAATTTGTTGGTGACATCCTTATAAAGAAACTGTTGTTCAATTCCAACTTATGTTTGTAGAAAGGGAAGTAGTAGCAGTAGAAGAAGAGAGGGGGGGGGGGTCCCTGAATGTTATCATGTAATTTAGTGCGTAAAATGGTTTCTAAATTGTGCTCTGCTTGGCTCATTTTGCTTGTGCTCTCATTTTCTAGATTAACCTTACTACATTCTGGTTGTCTTTCTATAGCTGTTCAGTGGAAGCCCAAGTTAAACCAGAAATCAAGCGTCAATGATCCAGGGGTTATTGGAAAATCTTCTCAAGCTTTAACCGACAAGTCAGAAGACTTGGAAAAAGAAGGATCTCAGTTGCAAGATAAAATGTCAAGGCTAAACATCTCAGACAACGTGATCATAGCTGAGCATATTCGCGTTTCTGAGACTGACCGGTTTCGGCTGACCTTTGGCAGCTTTGGAGCTGAATTGAAATCTGCAAAGGATTTGGATGAAGAATCACAGACCGAGTCATCAAGGTTAGTGATGTATAAGTCTCACTAATCTATCCTGGTAATTTGCTTATTCCTGAAAACTCTGAATATGGGGGCTTTCAACACCTGCAGTATCCCTCGCTTCCCAACTGTCAAACCCTATGTAAGGAATGAAAGAGGGCTTTTGTTTCAGTTAGGACCCATTTTAAAAGGCTAAATATTCATGGAACCTCTTGAGACAACTAGACATGATTAAGCAGTTGTACATGCATATTCAGTGCCGTAAATGTCAAAGAGGACCACCACCCCCAAATGAAAAATAAAAAATATGAAACTCATCGGTTTGAAGGAAAGGATAAGGTGATCATTTTTCCCTATAAAAAGGAATGGAGAAGGCTCTCATATTAGTTAGGCTGAACACATATGCAGCCACTTAAACTTGTCCGAATTTTTCATTTAGACACTTATACTAAGCGTTGTCCCAATTGAACACCTAAACTATGCTAAAAGTGTTTCTATTGAACGCAAATCCAATAATTCTAATTCAAATCTGGTGCGTGAAGATCACTTGCAGTTGACGCTGCAAACGAAACCAATTAAGAAAGGGCATGTCAGCAAAAGAAGAAGTCAAGATCTAAAAGAAAAGAGTAAGCAAAGATGTTGACTGGAACAAATGATTCCGGTGAAGAGTTTCAAAGATCCGACGAGGAAATATGTTTTTGAACATATTTTAGATTTCGTATATGTTGTTAAATTAGTTCTAGCTATTCCACCATGTGAGCATTCTACTTTGAAAAGAAAGTATGTTCCCATTGAACTGTTTCCAACAATGCCACACCCAATTTTGTCTGTGGCAGAATATTTCCGGTGACATTGACCTCTCTCCTCAACAACCAAAAAAACAAAAGCAGTGTATGCCATTATACTCCATCACACAAATACTTCAAAGCCGTTAAAACAAGTCTAAATTGTAAATTTCCTGTGTAGAAAATTCTAAAAAGAACATTACTTTTTCGAAGATGGGCGGACCTATTCGACAAATGGATTTGAACTATGGCTGAAAGGAATAGCATAAAAAATGGCAGAACTAGCTCCATAGGAATTGACAGTAGAAATGGCTAAAAATGAGTTTGAGAAGCAGTGAAGGAGGAGAGTTTGAATCTATGGCTGAAAAGAAGTGGCAAAGATAACAAGCTCAGAAAAGTAGCCATAAAATTAATTTTTTCCAGCGAAATCTTATATTTTCAGGTTAAAATAGTTGTTGTAGTTTAACATAGAGCAATTTCACGTGTTCAAATGTTGTGTATCTCATGATATGTGCCATGTCAGCAAGTTGTGTCTGATAAGCACAGTTGTGAGTAGGTTAGATGTTCAATTGGAACAAGGCTTAGTATAAGTGTCTAAATGAAAAATTCGGACAAGTTTAAGGGGTTGCATATGTATTCAGCCTTTTAGTTAGCATGCAATTAACATCCTAGATATCCCAGCGTAATCCCTCCTGACAGTATAGGCTGTATTAAACAGTCATACATGCATATTCAATTCCATAACCTCAAAAGGTGTTGTGAAACAAAAAAAGAATACAGGAAATCAGCTCCTTCTGCGTAAAATTCAAGATGTCATTACCTTTCAAAAAAAGGTCAGCTCCTTCTGCATAAAATTCATGATGTCACAGAAGCTTAAGTTTAGAATGGAGAACTTGCTCATTTCAAGCGCGGGCATTTCAAGGCAACATGTAAGGTATTGGTGATTTGAATATAGTATTTAATGTAGATAGGTTATGTAGCAAGGCACCAGCTTATTTGATACGTCTAAGACTACTATTTATATAGCCTTATCAAAAAAATGACTACCAGTTATATAAGTTAGGTTCTAGGTTGCGTTGCCAGTATGTAGGTGCCAAGTCAGGTAAGTAATGGAAAAGGATACTGCAATTCTTTCATGGTGGAAAAGATCAGATCTGTTGTAGGTGATGGATTCTAGGGGGATCGTTAGGTTTTAATGAGAAAATAAAATGAAGTCAGTGTGTTGTTTGTATGTTGGTGAACTTCGGAAATTTCTTATTGTTAATTCTCTTTTTTTTTTACTCCCTTTCAGTCTCGTTTCTTTTAGATGACTATTTTTTTTTGTTGCTCTGGTGGGAGTTGAACTTTGGTCTCTAAGGTTTTCACCCACTTCATTAACCGCTAGGCCACACCCTTGGGTGCTATATATGATGTTTGTTCCCTTCCCCATTGTTTCATTTCCCAGTATGCCTTACCACCATGGGATATTTTGTTGCCTTGTTGGCCCCTTTCTAGGGGCTAAGAGGAAAAGCAAATAAAGATTGTTAAGACCTTAGTAGAATTGCCCTTAATTATTTGATGCTTCTCTTTTAAATTATTTTGTCTTTCAGTTGGAAACTGCAACAGACTCTTTTTATTTTCCCCCTTGTTGACTTTTGAATGTCTGACTGATTCTGGAAATTATTTAATTTTGTGGTAGACTGTCAGTTTTGGTTTCTGAGCCTTCCACTGATGAAATTGGGAGCAAGCAATTAGATTTGGCTGATGATCGGGTTCAGAATCCAGGCTTGACTTCTCCTGGATCTGGTGTAATTTTAGATCAGAAGTTGGCAGATAATAGAGAGTCTTCAAGTCCCGAGGATTTGGGAAATTATTCAGATGTTGGATTGGTTCAAGATAACGGAGCATCTTATACTCCACCGGAGTCGCAACAGCAGCAAGATGCTTCTAACTTATCAAGTTTCTCGGTGAGTTTCGTTCTCTTTGGTTAATGTTCTATGTGATTTGGTTGTGGCAGTTTTTCTAATGTTCTCTTTTAATTCTTTGATCATTTTCCTCATATTCTTTTGCGCGTTTGGATGGGATGCAAGCAGACCTATGATCCCCAAACTGGGTATGATATACCATATTTTAGACCAGCAGTAGATGAAGCTCTTCATGGCCAGGGTGCCCAGGAGGTAAATCGAGTTTTCAAACTTTTTAGCAATCAAGATGCATGCCTCTCTTCTTTCGAGGAGCCAAATTGTTATTCTGACTTCATGTCAGCATAGAGACATATCCATCATATTATCATCACCCTGCTGGGTTTTATCTGAGTTCATAAATTGAATTGTACTCTAGGTTGATTTTGTTCTGTGATATTACAACTTCTAATGTTTTCTGAATTACAGGCCCTCAGTTCACATGTTGCAAATAGCATGCCAGCATCGACAATTCCAATGGTGCAGCAAGTACAACAGCACCAACCCATTGCCCAGATGTATCCCCAAGTTCATGTTTCCCATTTTGCTAATCTTATGCCATATCGCCATGTTTTCTCCCCTGTCTATGTTCCTCCAATGGCTATGCCTGGCTATTCTAGTAACCCTGCCTACCCACACCCGCCGAATGGCAGCAACTACTTGCTGATGCCTGGAGGTGGCTCCCATCTTAGTGCAAACGGGCTCAAGTATGGAATCCAGCAGTTTAAGTCTGTCCCCACAGGCAGCGCATCGGGGTTTGGGAATTTTACTAGTCCAACTGGATATGCTATCAACACTCCTGGTGTAATTGGCAGTGCAACAGGTCTTGAAGATTCATCTCGGATGAAGTACAAGGATGGTAATCTTTATGTTCCTAATCCCCAGGTGAATATCCAATTTTTCTTCTCACTTTTATGATTCAATGGCAGGTTTTTAACGTATTGTCAGATAATTTATGTATCACAACAATACCCAAGCCATACTCTCATTACTTACCTTAAGGAAAAAAATCAGTGCCATCATAGAGGTGTAAACGCCATACACATTATTGATTAGTTTTCTTTTCCTGCCAGCAAGTATTTTATTGTGATCCCGCTGACTTCTTTTCCATCCCGAGACCAACCTTCAGAATGTCTGCAGTCTCCTAATTGCGCAAATATTTTGTACTTTGTAGTAGTTCTTAGGGAAGGCTATCTCTATCTCACATTTTATACACGAATAGCCCTAAGTCTAGGAGGGAGTGGGGAAGGGGGAGATTGTGCTGTACAGTGGACACTGGAAAATATAGAACAGATGATATTTCTGGTGCTTTGGAAGAATGGAAGAGAAACCAATGGAGTCCACATGGACAAGAATCTATTAAATTGCGCCTAGGTTGTCCTAGGTCGCCATACATTGTCTAAGCCGTCAAAGTTCCCTGGGTTCTAAATTATGGTTTGGCTTCATTTAAGTGGTTAAGCTTTTCAAGCTAAGGCAGTACACCAAAGGTTAAAAACAAACGATTAATTCATTTGGTCTTCTGCTAACTCAGAGGTTGGAGAACGTAGAACCAGGACATTTTCGTTCTTTCATATTGGAGAAGATTGTTGTGTGAAGTCTGTAGAGCATGACTTATTGCTGTTTGACCCATAGATTAATTTTGTTTCAAAGTTCCTATTTTTCACAAACATTTTTCTAAGACGGCTGCTTATTTGATATTTGATATGGTCTTTGAACATTTGATTGACAGGCAGAGACGTCTGAAATGTGGATGAATCCAAGGGATATTTCTAGTTTGCAGTCAGGGTCATACTACAGCATGTCGGGGCAAACCCCTCATGCCACATATCTTCCGTCTCACAGTGGACATGCTTCTTTCAATGCAGCAGCAGCTGCTGCACAGTCATCCCATATGCAGTATCCGGGCTTGTACCATCCTCAGCCTACTGCAATGGCTAATCCTCATCATTTGGGCAGTGCCATGGCTGGTAATGTTGGTATGGCTGCAGCAGCTCCTGGAGCTCAAGTGGGTGCATACCAGCAACCTCAATTGGGTCATATGAATTGGACAGGAAACTTCTGAATGAATGAATGTCAGTTATTCTGGCCCTATCTTATGTGGGATAACTTCAGCTATAGGATTTTCATTTTCTTGTGGAATGAAAAGCACATAGTAATTTCTAAATCAATGCCTTCAATGTTAATATTTTCCTCTGCTTACTGTATTCACGGTCAAGGTTCTCTATCCACCCTTTTTCCTTGTGGGGTTTCTTTCATTTGGGGTGGTGGGGTGGAAGAGGGTTATTTAACTATTACACAGGCTGCTATTAAATTCACACGTAAATTCAGTCCATAATCAAATTCAAATTCTTGAGTTCTTAGTTAGAATGCAAAATGAAGAGAAATTGAATCAATTTGCAACAATGAGAATTGGAAAAGAGAGAAAACAAAAGGTAAAAAGAGAATGTGAAAGGGTTGCTTTATTCTATGACTGGTCTTTATTGATGCCTAACCACTTATTTGTTACGAGGATAAGGGATAATTAATACTAGGAATAAATTTGAAATGAGTTTATCCTACGTTTGGTTGGGATAAAATTTTAGTATAACTAATATCGGGATTGTAGTAATATTTTTATCCCTATAGGAGAGTGGAAAAGCAATTCCCGAATAATTAATTTTGGGATAATATGTTTCTCAGCCAAGCGACCCCCAAGTGAAACCAGGTACAAACCATTAAAGGCTGTGTGTGTGTATCTCTTAATAGTTGTATCCAGTCTGCATCTACTTGCACTCATTTTGGTTCACACATTTCAACGAAAATCAGTCACCAATCAATCAATTGCCTCAACCCCAAATTAGTTAACGCCTGCTATATAAATCAATCAATAGTCAATCAACAACACTTTGATCCCAAACTAGTTGGATCGGTTTTTATGAACCAGTTGTATCCACTCTGCATCTACTTGGACTCATTTTGGTTCATACATTTCAAAAGAAAATCAATCAACAGTCACAATTACGCGCCAATCCCATATTAGCTAAGGCCTGCTATATATAAATCAATCAACTAACACCTTGATCCCGAACTTTATATTTTTGCTCTATTCAGACTCATAAAGTTCATACATTAACAACAATCAATTAATTACCATCCTAAAGAACCTCTTTTCATTTGGATACCAAAAAAAATTTTTTGATCTTTATGACAAATTACTGATTCTTGAGTGCTTTTTCCTAAAAAAAGGTGAAATTGAGAAACCCAATTGGAGAAAGATTGGACCTTTGGGAGGAGGGAAACGAGNATGTCCAAATTTGGACGACCACGACCATTATTGAATGCGATGAGAAACATGGTCCTTACAATATAACGTCTTTTGGTTATTATAAAGGGTGACGACCAACAGTGATTAGTGAACACACGACGTCTGCAGTAGTGTTAGCATAGTAGGAGACAGTAGGAATATGCTTTTCGAATATTCTTTGTGTTGTACCTTTTTAGGGTTTGAAAGGGGATTGTCCCTTATAAATAGGAGAAAAGTGCTCTGTAAAGGAGGATCTAAAAGTGAATACAAAAAAGACAACTTTGCTTACTGAATACAGATCTGAAATCCTTATATCATCTTATCTTGGTCAATCGCATTCATTACAATATTTTTCTACACTTGAGTTATCACATTTATGAATAATCATTTGGTTCCGACTTACTAGGGAGCATTGTTCATCTTGTTCTTCTCTTACATCGTTTAATCTAGATTTTATTATACTTGGATGAGATTTACCTCTTCACCTTCATTAATTGATTTAATCAAAAAGGTTTCGATATCTTTTGATCAAACAATTTGGCGCCGTATGTGGGGATTTCTTCAGCCAAGATCTTAGTTTCATCTAGATCATAAAAAAGGATAATCGCCTCTTCCTAGCTTTGCACAAACTAACAATGGCTGGGAAAGGAGATGCAAGGCAAAAAGCAATAGTAGGTGTCGCAACAAACCTCCTGAACACCATCAATGAAGACAGCAGGGAAGATAACGAAAACGGGACCCCAAACACCACACCCAGGGGAGACGCTTCACCTCCCCCCCATGAAAGCGTAACTACTTCACGCGAGAAGGAAGCCTCCACATCTACAACAGGAGAGGCACCGCCGGCAGTGAGAAGACTATTGGAAGAATGGCTAACAAGTACTCTGAACAACATACTTAATAAACCCGCCCAAAGGGATAACAGAAATATTGCACACGTAGATGTCACGACGATCGCTAATGAGCAAGGTATCACCCGTACAGGTAACACTCATATTGCTGATGACGCAGGTAATGACACGCTCACAGCCGTTTTAAAGAAAATGGACGAGATGGAAAATGAGAACAGGGCACTCTGTGACCAGATGAAGGAGCACCAAGAGAGGGTTGACAAAATACCGGGCGCCCCAAAGTTGTTGCCAAAATGGGTCGGTTTATCTAGCAACCATACAATGAAGAAGCGCCCCCCTACGCCGTACCAAAGACCTTCAAAATGCCACGTTACCTAAAGATATACGACGGTACCACCGATCCAGAAGATCATATCATCCACTACGTTACAGCCGTAAAGGGTAACGATCTTTCAAAAGAACAGGTACCATCGGTGCTACTAAAAAAATTCGGCGAAACCCTAACAGGGGAGCCCTGACCTGGTATTCCCAACTACTGGCACGATCAATAACGACGTCTGAAGAAATGGCAGACAAGTTTGTCACCGCCCATGCAGGAGCCAAGAAGGCAGAATCCAGAGTAAACGACATATTTGCCGTTAGGAAGATGCACAACGAGGGACTCAGGGACTTTTTAGCTCGGTTCAACAGGGTAAGAATGAGCTTGCCAAATGTGTCAGAGGGAATGGCGTTAGCAGCCTTCCAAAACGGACTAAACAGGAACGGGCCGAGACCAGAAAATTATTAAGCAGGCTCATGAAATACCCTCCAACCACTTGGGAAGAAATCCACAATGCATACTGCGCCGAAGTAAGAGCCGACGAGGACGACCTTAACGGTCCGATCCAACGGTTGACGTCAGTTCAAAATGAAGCAAGGAGAGATTGTCGCAACGACGATCGAAGAGATCAGTCGGGACCCCGTCTCGGCCGAGAAAGGCATCAACCCTACATCGGGTCGTCTATCCCACCTCCTCCGCGGCACATAGATGCTCCCTCTCGACATGCAGCGTCACATCGACATGAAAAAGGTATGCCTCCGCTCCTATCTGCTTACAATTTTTGTCTCTCCTTCAGAAATAGTGTACACACTGGAGAAACTCGGTACCAAGGTACAATGGCCGCAAAAGATGAAGTCCGACCCAAACACTTGGAAATCGAACGCTCTCTACGAATTCCACCAGGAAAGGGGCCACAAAACCGAAGGTTTCATAGGACTGCGGCAGGAGGTAGTGATAATGCTAAATCAGGGACACTTGAAAGAATTGCTGACCGATCGAGGACGGGCTAATTTTGCCCGCGGATGTGAACAACCCCAGGGACCTCCAAAACTGCCTTCTCCCGCTTGCACTATACAAATGATCATCGACGGGGGCGACGACACAACAATCAATCATGTGAAGTTCACCACCACACATAAACTCAAACGGTCGATCACTCATGAACGGTATGATGACCTCGAAGATAGTATCGTCTTCGATAAGTCGGATACCGACGGTTTGTCTTTCCCTCACTACGATGCTCTTCTTACCACTTTACGTATTGCAGATACTGATGTAAAAAGAATAATGGTAGATGACGGGAGCGACGCGTGTATTATCCATCCTCGAGTCCTCTTACAGATGAGACTCAAAGATAAAATAATACCGCATTGTATAACACTAATAGGTTTTAATAATGCAGTCGAGCGGATTTCTGGAGAGATAATGCTACCCGTCCTAGCTGAAGGAGTCACCCTGGAAACGATGTTTCACGTCATGGACCAAGATACAGCCTACAACGCCATCATAGGGCCCCCGTGGATACACTCCATGCGAGCATTCCCGTCCAGTCTCTATTAAGTAATCAAGTTTCCTACTCCATGGGGAGTATTCAGCATCCGGGGCGAACAATGCACCGCATAGGAAATCGTCCAAGATCGCACCCACACCCAACAGCTAAAATGGGTAAATGCAGAAGCCTCGAAATCAACAATGTCAGGAATCAAGCTTGGCGTACGAACAGACGTTATCGAGGATCCCGACATCGTGGAAGCATCCGAGTCGACAATAGAGGATCTAGACCCCTTCCTACTAGATGGCAATGACAGCACGAAAAAGGCTTATATCGGGCACAACCTCTCTGAACCAGGTAAGTTTCGTAAATTCTTAATTGACAATGCCGATCTGTTGCCTTCTCCCATGCAGATATGCCCATATCCCGAAAGATATCGCCACACACAAACTGAATGTTGACCCTCTCTACCCGCCAGTACGACAAATAAGAAGGAAGTTCAACGCTGCAATCAACGAAGCTGTCAGCGAAGAATTCGATAAGCTGCTCGCAAATGGCTCCATCCGAGAGTCAAAATATCCCAGTGGGTCGCCAATATGGTCATGGTAAAGAAGAAAAATGGAAAGTGCCGGATGTGTGTAGATTTCACAGATCTAAACAAGGCCTGTCGAAGGGACTCCTTTCCATTGCCACACATCGACCAGCTCATCAACGCAACAGTAGGACACGAGTTGCTAAGCTTCTTAGACGCCTACTCGGGTTACAACCAGATCCTCATGGAGGAAGAAGACCGGGAGAAAACTACTTTCATCACTCACCAAGGAACGTACTGCTATAAGGTCATGCCGTTCGGACTAAAGAATGCAGGAGCGACGTACCAGAGATTGGTCACCAAGATGTTCAAAGACCAACTCGACAAAACAATGGAAGTCTACATTGGCGACATGCCGGTGTCACGACCCTAAACCCGGACCCGGTCGTGATGGCGCCTCTCGTGAAGACAAGTCCAGCCGACACAACACGCAATTCATTTAAACATAAAAAATAGCACCATTTAAGTCTTTAACATAGTAATAATCCCAAAATAAAGGTAAATAACACAATTCGCGAAAAACAACACAGCCCGACATCGGGGTGTCACCAGTCATGAGCATCTACTATCCGATTAAAATAGGAAGAGTCTACATAGTCTGTTACAGAACTAAAACAAGAGAAAGTAAGATAGGGGGAGAAGCACTGGGCTGCGAACGCGAGCAGCT